AGCTGAAGTTATCTAAAAAAAAATCTTTTTTAAAAGTATTTTTAAGACATTAAAATATTTTTACATTTTTAACAACTAATATATTATTGAGGTTAGGGAAAGTTAATTTTACCACTTTAACTGCCCTCTCAACTCCTTTTGTGTGAACAGGGAAATACGGAACTACCATAGGACAATCCAGGATTATTTTTAGCTCTTTAATGTTCTTTTAACAGGTTAAGATGGGTACATAGGCCTTTTCCCATGTTATTAACTCATTTTGGTTGCTTACTGGTTTAAATGAGGAAGCTTATATGTTCTAGGAGCTAGAATTCCCATTTCTTCATTTTTTCTAAAATTTTGTTAACAGCCAATTCCCTTTCAATTTTTTTTTTTATTAAACTCGTGAAAGATTTCTAACATCTTTCTAACATCATTGGATGACTTAAAAATGATGATGCTTCATTATCTTTGGTGTACTATTTTTTGTGTGAAATGGACAAGAAGTTCATAAATGAAGAAATTATTCAGGAATATGGTTATGAAGCGCTTTAAATTCCTTATCACCTCAAATATGGAAATTGCCTATATGCTGACACCAATGTATGCTGCAGAAGGATTCTATTTTGGTGAAAATAAGACTGATATAATCAGTTCAATTTCAGAATTAGCCTCAATAACAAATCCAACAATTGCTGAGACAGTTGAAAGTGAAATGATTGAATTTGTCACTGAACAGGACAGTTCGCCATTTCTGCACATTCCAGTCAATATGAGATGTAGCAAACAGGAGTCTTTTCTTCTGGTTCTTTAGTGAAATTAGCGGTTTCTTTGCAGGGCGTCGAGAATACAATCCAGCTTCAACAGCACATCGTCTGATTGTTCGGTCCGATACAGACAGCTTTAATTGCTTTTTTATCTAGACTGATGATATCCAGGGATCCTTCTTGACGAATCTGATGATCATAAAATCCTTTTCAGGATTCTATGATTGTCAGATCGTAGAATCCTGAAAAAAAGCATCTAGAATCTTCCAGAACAGGTTCACACAGGTTCATATTACTATATAAGAGACATGTAAACCGACATGTAATTCAGTCAGTATATGGAAGTCAATCAGTCAGTATTATCAAGACAGTTTATCGAAGTGAGTTTTGTCAAAGTGTATTATCAAAGAACATCAATACAAGAAGTGAAATACAACAAATGTTTCATTACATCAATACAGTCCACACCCAACCAAGACGTTGTGTTCCACAGAGCATTATTGTATCATCACAAGGTAAATGTAACACGGTAAGCCTTGAGAAGCGTGATTATTTATTTTTATTATTTTTCTGACTTTAAGTGCAAAAAGGGCTCCCGACAGTCTTGGATTGGAATTAAGAAAGAAAATTATATGACACAAAAAATTTATATAACACAAAAAAGTATTTGTGATAAATATCACGTGAAAAAATGGACCATATCAAGGCTATGTTCCAAATATCGTTTTATAGGGAATTCGGCAGCAAATAATAAAGGTGGAAGACCGCATTCCACCACTTCTAGAGAGGATTCTATGATCGTCAGATCCATCAAGAAGGATCCTGGATATCATCAGTCGAGATAAAAAAGCAATTAAAGCTGTTTGTATCGGACCGAACAATCAGACGACGTGCTGTTGAAGCTGAATTGTATTCTCGACGCCCTGCAAAATAACTGCTGATTTCACTAAAGAACCAGAAGAAAAGACTCCTGTATGCTACATCTCATATTGACTGGAATGTGCAGAAATGGCAAACTGTCCTGTTCAGTGATGAATTGAAGTTCAACATCATTGGGAGCGATGGCATTTGCACTCCCAATGATGGCATTTGCACGTCGACGGTGCTGAAAATGCCTCAATTTACGTTACTGCCAGAAGATCGTGAAGCATGGTGGAGGCAATGTAATGGTCTGGGGGTGTTTTTCTGCTAATGGTCTAGGTCCAATACATCGAATCGATGGAATAATGGACCGTTTCATGTATAAAAATATCCTGAAAGATGTTATGTTACCTCATGCTGAATGAAATATGCCGATAAAATGGGTTTTTCAGCAAGACAATTATCCGAAACACATTGCAAAAGTAGTCAAGCAGTGGTTTCAAGACAACCACCTATCGGTGATGGATTGGCCGTCTCAATCTCCGTATCTCAACCCTATCAAGAACCTGTGGGAGATTGTCAACCGCAGAATTAATTGTGAGGGTGTTTGTAATAAGGATCAACTGTTTGAACAAATCCAAAAGGCCTGAACAGCAATTCCACAAAGTTTTATTGATCACCTGATCGAGTCTATGCCTCGAAGATGCAAGGCTGTGATCGACAACAAAAGATCCGCCATGAAATATTGATAGCGAAATACAGCTTGGTCAACATTTTGTGGAGTTGCACTTGTTTTGTCCAGAAAGAAATCAACTTTTTTTAATACTTTTGATTAATTTTTTAATTTTCGTGTACAAATAATGAACTTTGTGATGAATTAAACTTGAAGAACATTGTCTCTAAACAGTTACATAGTTATTTCTCTAAATTGAAAAAATGCTGCACTTTTATATAAAGAAACTAAATTAGCATTATTTGGTTGCACTTGTTTTGTCCGATACTGTATATATATATATATATATATATATATATATATACATATATATATATATATATATATATATATATATATATATATATATATATATATATATATATATATATATATATATATATATATATACATATATATATATATATATATACATATATATGTATATATATATATATATATGTATATATGTATATATATATATATATATAAATATATATATATATATATATATACATATATATATATATATATATATATATATATATATATATATATATATATAATATATATATATATATATACACATATATATATATATATATATATATATATATATATATATATATATATATATATATATATATATATATATATATATATATATATATATATATATATGTATGTATGTATGTATGTATGTATGTATGTATGTATGTATGTATGTATGTATATATATATATATATATATATATATATATATATATATATATATATATATTAGGGTGTCCCAAAAAACAACATTTTTGATAAATTTTTCATAATAAATAAAACCTAGTTCTAGAAAATTTTTTAATAAAAAATATTTATAGGGGACCTTCATGTTGCATATTAAATCATGAAAAATTAGAAAATGATAGTTTTTTAACAAAAATGTATTGAAAAAAAAATTGTCAAACTAGTTGATAAAAATACATTTTTTTCTTTTTTAGTTAATAAACTTTATCTTTTATGCTGTGAAATCAAACATTATATTCATAATATATAGTTATCACCTTTGAATATTTAGTATTTTTACATTCTCATTTTATTTTTTTTAATATTTGTTTTGCAGTTTGCAATTAAATTGTGCATTGTTTTTAAAAAAACAAGGTACAATTAAATCAAATATTTTAAGCATTTTTCTATTACTGAAGGGATCTTTTCAATGCTGCATTTGTGTCTTGCTGGTCTGAACTCTCAGAAGAACAGCAAGATGAACTTGTTGCAAGTTTAGAACAAGCATTGAAGTCTCAAAACATTCAACAGATAACACAAACCCTTTTGAACTTATCAGAGTTTATGGAACATTGTGAAATAAAAGTAAGGTTTTTTCATTTTACACTAAATTTTTAATAAAAAGTTACATAATGAGATAAAGTTATTTACTATATCTAATTTTGAAATGAATAATTTAATAAAACAATATTTAAAACAAAATAATAGTTTATAATTAAAATTTATAATAAATAATATTTTATGTTTAATTATAAATTTTTTATAAGAAGTTTAATAATAGTAAAAGTAATAACTTTGTTAAGAAGCCAAAGAAATTTATTTTTATTTTACTTTGTGAAGTGAATTCTGCGAACATAAATGAAGTAAAAAATTGCCTGTATTTGATTTGTATTTTTTACAAATAAATATTAGTTGTTACAGACAACTTGCATTCAATGTTGCAGTTATAATATTTTTAAAGTGCTTGTTATCATTTGTTTGCAAATATGTATGTTAATATTGTTTACAACCCTTGGAATTAGGGTCGGCATTCGACAATGCCAACCTAATTGCCGACCTGAAAGTGTTTGAGGTTGGCAAAAAATTGCTGACCTTGTTTCTATTTTTTATGGTCAGACCTTTGTATCAAATAATTTTTATTGACCTTATGCCAACCTCCAAAAAAATTGAGGTCGGCAATAATTTGCTGACCTCATTTTCCTAATTCCCAGGGTTGTGTTTAAATATTTTTTGGCGTTTCAGTTTTTTACTTTAATTACTTTACTGATCAACTGTTTTTTTTTTCTTTACACATGAGGGGGTTGCTAGCTCCTTTTTTATTAAAAGTTTTTTTTTTAACTTTCATTAAATCTTAATTTAAACTGATAAACTTATAAATAATTATCATTTTGTTTAATTGAAATTTAAACTTATCTAAGCAAAAATATTTTGTTAAAGTAATTTTGGAAACATTTGTTTTGTGAATGTAATATTGTAATTACTACAGAAGATAATTACTACAGAAGATTACTACTTTAGTTAATAATGTAACATTTTATGTAGGCGACATATTTTTTGTAGGGGACATTTTCTTTGAATATCGAGCTACTTGGTGAATGTGCAACTAATTGTAGAGCCTATGCTAAGGCTCTTCATTATAAAGAAGAAGAATTTCAGAAAGCAGTAACAACAGAAGTTCTTGAGTCCCTAATCAGGTTTAAAATTTTTACTCTAAATTGCACTGAAACAGTTTTATTCTATTTTATTTGGATTGGGAATAAATTTTTATTAGTGTTGTCAATAATTTGTTAAACAAGTCATTAAAGTATCACAAAGTACTCAAAAATATTTCTGAAAAGTACAGACTTTTGCTACGTACCAAAAGTGCTTGTTTTACCCAGACCACTTGGTAATATGAGCACTTTAAATTAGCTCAAAAAAAATAAGTAAAAAAATACCAACCTGACAATTAAAACTAATTTTTGGACTATCATGAGTTGTTAAACAAAACTTATCATTAAAAGTACAAATTTTAAGCCACTTTGTTAAAACAATACTACTATGTTTTCTGCAAAAAAAAAAAAAAAAAAATTAGTTTGTTATTTTTTCAATTTTAACTAAAACCTTCTTCTTGATAAAATTAAACTCTAACAATAATATTCAAATTTTTGAATTTAAATTACAGAAAAATGTACAGTATTGCTGAAATATTAAAACTTTTTGCTATGTTTTGTTTTTGTTTAAAAAGCAATTAAAATCACTGCTATTTTAGGACTTTAAACTAGGTTATTTCAATGAAAAACACTGGGTAATTTGAGCATGCTCATGTTACACAAAAATGACATCCTTAAATAAAGACAAAACTAAATGTTTCTATGCAATGTTTTTTTTTAAAACAAAAATGGAAATGGGTTTTTAGCTAACATATTTTTCTTTGTGAAAAAATTATTTTCATTATTTTAGCACCAAAATTTTGCACCACAGATACATCCATGCGTGATGATTGTTTTAAGAATGTGAAAAACTTTTTTTAAAAGTTATCATTTAATTAAAACGCGTTTTAATAAAATGATAGCCGCTAATTACTACATATAAATTTACGCTAATTGTACTGATTTCTGATCACCACATAAAGTTGATTCAAAAAATACAAAACAACTTTAACTTCACTGCTTACATCTAAGAAATCTTTAAGTATGCTCATATTATAAAGGTGCACATTTTACCCTGATACCCTGATACCTTATAAAGGTGCTCATATTACCCTAATCTACTCTACGTAAATATTTCAGCTTCATAAGTTAATGCGGTAGTGGTGTAGTGGTAAGACTCCCACCACGTCCCTGGAAGTACCGTGGTTGTACCACGATTTACAACAACAACAAAAAAAAAAAATTAGTAGCCTCCTCGACTGTAGTGGCCCCCTCGGGCCTTGGGGAGGTGAATAATTAAAAAAAAAAAAAAGTTATCATGAATTATATAGACAGCAAATTTGATCAATAAAATTGTTATAATTGAGTTTCATTTACAACTAAATTATTTTAGAATGATACAATTTAATTTTTAAATCTGTATGCTTATTTGCTTTGTGTGTAAGATATCCTGAAGTGTGCATTGGTCTGGAGTTTTAGTACATGTTTTAGTTATGTTTGTTTGTGTTCTTTTTATTCTCTGATGCAGCGTGACTTCAGTAACTAGTTACTTACTCCAGCTACAAAACCTACACTCACCTTAGACTCCTGTATTTTGTTAGATGCAGTGTTTTTCCTAATGCACTTCCAAAATGTCATGCCTGGTTTTCTCAAAGTATTGTTGCGAGAAGTAACTTCTTTTAACTACTCCAGGTCAGGTCAGGATAATCAAGATCAATCTTGCTACTGGTTATACGTAACCCAGTACCACCTGCCACAAGTCCTGCTGCCTTGCAGAGTGTGCTCTTCTTAGGCAAAGGCTAGGAGAAATAAACTCCGACTAAAAATTCCCCTGCCTTGGGGCTCTTGATTGAGTAAGGGCTAGAGATGGTGTCTCAATAAAAACACTCATCTTGGGCAGGTGTTAACTGCATCCAGCTAAACATCCCCTGCCTAGGGGCTCTTGGTTGAGTAAAGGCTAGAGATGGTGTCTCGATAAAAATACTCATCTTGGGTAGATGTTAACTGCATCCAGCTACTGTCTTGTAGAAGGCCCTTTTAGGCAAAGACTTTAGGGGTAAGCAGAAAAATTCTGCTAACCAGCCTCGAACCCCTTTTTCATCTATTAGGCTGGCGTAGATGTAACCTGTGTTACATTGTTTCCTGCCTAGGATGATGAATGCTGGATCTCCTTGACTCTACTCATAGAATTTTGCTTATGCCTCCTTGATAATGGCTATGCAACTCTTCTTGTTATATCCATATGAGGGTACAGCTCTGAAACTCAGTTTAATGGTTCTAAGGCCAGCTGGTAGTAAGGTTTCCTGAACTCTGTGGTAGCTCTCAGAGAGGCTGATTCCATCAACAGCTGCAAAATATCAGAGTATTAACAGTGCCATGTTGCGCATGGATGGTGTCCCTGTTAATGTTTTTGGTGTGCATTGTCAAGGCCACATAAGGAGCCCTATGTCACTGCTTAGGGATAATTAACAGGACTGAGACAACTGCATAGCTCATTGATTAGGAGGCTGTGCTCTATCTATGAATGAGTCAAGTTCTCATTAAACCCAAATCATGACCAAAGAAACCAAAAATTTCAAACCTAAAAAACCATCCCCACCACCTAAATGTTTTAATATATCTTTTACAAATATTCGCGGTCTGCAAAGCAACTTTCCGTCAGTTGAGTCTTACCTCCTGCAAAATTTACCAGATTTGCTTGCACTCAGTGAAACAAATTTAAATTCTGCAATTCCTTCTTCAGATGTCAGTGTTGATGGGTACTATCCTTTGATTCGTAAAGACTCCAATAGTCACATGCTAGGTTTAGAGGTATACGTACGCATTAATTCCCCTATTTGTCATGAAATCAGGTTCGAATCCCTTCGCCTAGCACCTCTTCACTCTATCACCTTTCTCTTTGTTCTTTATCGTTCTCCTTCTTCCTATGATTGCACTCTTTTAGATGTTATCTCTGATCAAATTGACTATGCCCTCTCTCTTTACCCCTCTGCCAATATTGTTGTTGTTGGTGATTTTAATGCCCATTACACTGAATGGCTTGGCTCTAACACCACTGATCCTGCTGGCACTAAAACCTTTAACTTCTGCATTTCTCAATCTCTTACTCAGATAGTTAACTTTGTGACTCGTTTTCCTGACAACCCTAATCATTTACCTTCACTCCTTGACTTATGTCTTGTCTCTGACCCTAGCTTATGTTCAGTTTCTCCCTTTTCTCCCTTAGGTGGTTCTGACCATGCAATGATCTCTATAAATCTTTCTTCTCGTACTTCTTTTTTGGGCTCACCTTATCATCGCACCACCTACTACTACCCTAAAGCTGACTCGGATTCTTTTTGTGATTTTCTTCGTGATGGTCCTTGGGCTGATGTTTTTCTCTCTCAGCTGATAAATGCACCTCCTACGTAACCTCCTGGGTTCAGGCTGGAATGGAAGCTTTTATTCCTTCTCGCCGGTTTTAAGTTAAGCCTCATTCTACTCCATGGTTTTCTCCTTCTTGTGCAGCTGCTATATCCAATCGTAATCATTTGTTTCATCTTTTTCAAAAGAACAACTCTCTTGAGAACAAACGGCTATTTGTTATTGCAAGAAATCGATGTAAAAAGGTGCTTTCTGATGCTAAACTCCATTATTCTCAGTTCACTAAATCTCGCATCTTATCACAGAGGTTAGGCTCTAAAGACTTTTGGAAAATCTTCAACAGCATTATTAACAAGGGCAGATCTAACATTCCATCTCTCATTTATGGGACTGATCTTATTACCTCTCCCAAGGATAAGGCAGAACTATTTGCAAAGAACTTTTCTTCTAATTCCACTCTTGAATCTTATGGACATTCTCTTCCTTCCATTCCAGTTAAACAGGTTGACCCATTGTTAGACATTCAAATCACTCCGGCTTCTGTTGCTAAAGTTATATCTCAATTAAACTCGTCTACAGCTTGTGGTCCAGACAACATTCCTGTCACAGTCTTGCAGAATTGTTCTCCAGAACTTTCTTCAATTCTCTCTAAAATATTTAACAAGTGTTTGACTGAGTCTTGTTTTCCTGCTTGTTGGAAAATGGCATCTGTGGTTCTAATATTCAAAAACTCTGGAGAAAATTCTGACCCCTCCAGTTATCGTCTGATCAGTCTTCTTTCTGTTATTAGCAAGGTCTTTTAGTCTTTGATCAACAAATTCCTCACATCTCATCTTGAGTCAAATAAACTACTGTCAGACAATCAATATGCTTTTTGATCCTCTCGCTCTACGGCTGACTTGCTAATTGCTGTAGCTGAAAGATTTTATCGTGTATTAGATGGAGGCGGTGAGGCTAGGGCTATTGCTCTCGACATATCTAAAGCTTTCAACAAAGTTTGGCATGCTGGTCTTCTCCATAAGCTTGCTTATGGAGAAGACCAGCATGCCATATGGTGTTTCTGGGAAAGTTTTTGAGATTCTCAAATTTCTTTCTAACCGGTTTATTAAAGTCATCCTTGAAGGCCAACACTCTTCTTTATTTCCAGTAACTTCTGGGGTTCCTCAAGGTTCCATCCTGGGCCCTGTTTTGTTTCTTATCTACATAAACAATCTTCCTGACAACTTTTCATCTAAAGTAGCTTATTTTGCTGATGACTCAACTTTATACTCCTGTCTTGACAAAAAATCTTCTCTTTTCGATCGCCTAGAACAAGCAGCTGATCTTGAATCCGATCTCACTTCAGTAATAGGTTGGGGTTCACAGTGACTTGTGAATTTCAACTCTAACAAAACCCAGTTGTTTACTGCAAACAACTACCGTAATATGGTCAACATTCCTATATTAATTAATGGCAATCCTCTTACTGAGTCCTCCTCTTTACGTCTTCTTGGATTATCGCTTACTACTGACCTTTCATGGAAACCATATATACAATCGATTGCTAAATTAGCTTCTGCTAAGATTGCTTCTCTTTATCGTACTCGCCATTTCCTTACTTCTGATTCCATTCTCTACCTCTATAAGTCTCTTATTCGTCCCTGTATGGAATACTGTTTTCATATTTGGGCTGGTTTTTCTAACGATTCACTTTCTTTTCTTGACAAGGTCCAAAAATGCATTGTAAATGTTGTTGGACCTGGACCATCTGCTAAGCTTGAGCCTCTTTTCCATCGTCGTAAAGTTGCATCTCTTTCTCTTTTCTACAAATACTATCATGGTCACTGCTCAAAGGAGTTATCATCTCTAGTTCCATCAACTAAAATTCATTCTCGTTTTACTCGTCATTCAGCTAAGTCTCATTCGTTTACTATATCTGTCCCTGCATGCTCTAAAAACTTTTATTCATCTAGTTTTTTTCCCCGCACTTCAATCCTTTGGAACTCTCTCGCATCTTCATGTTTTCCTGACTCATAGAACCTTCAACTTTTTTTGTCTTCTGTCAACCGTTTCCTTGCTCTATAACTCTGTTCTTTTTTTTCCTAGTAACTCTCAACTTAATAGTGGTTGCTTGCAGTCTTGTTGGGAGTAAATGCAAATAAAAGATAAAAAAAAACGTAGCTTGAGTGTTAAAGTATTAATGTAACTTAAAAAAAGTAATTTTTGTAAAAGTTAAAAAACTTTTTAAAACACAATTTTTGTGTTGTCATAACAAAAATTGTAATGTAAAACGATCATTGGCATTAAGGTGTTCTATTGTTTAGAATCTAAAATAAGATGTAAATTCAATTAGGTGTGTATGCATAGACAGTTTGTAGTATGACAAGGTAGTTTGTTCTAATGTCAACGGTCAACCAGCACTGGGCACACTTTGCAGTCAAGTGGCACTGAGCCACTTTGAGAGATTGGTAACAGAAAGAAACGTTTTTTTCTAACCATTGTATAAATTAAATTTATACTAAAACTTTTTTTTATCTTATTCCTCATTACATGTTTTTTAATTTTGCTATACCAAGCAAAAAAAAATTTAATGCTTTTTTTTTATGCAAAACTAGTTTGTACCTAAAACATTTCATTTTAATAAAGGTTTTTGTATTGAGGATAGTTGGGTTTTCAAAATATGAATTGAACTTTGAATACAATTTACAAGAGATTTTTGAATAGTATTTTGATGATTGCTTTGTGTCTTTTCAAACAAAAAATCTTCCAGATTAATTTTTAATTGTTAAAATAACAGATTTGCTGAATTTGATTTTTTTTTATTTTTTCAAAAAACAAGTTGTTTTAGTCAACCAAAACATTATTACTGAAATACTCTCTGGTTTACTGTATCCCTGTTGTATCAATTGTATCCCTATTCATATTTATTACTGTATCCCTGTTGATATTTATTAGAGCTTTGATAAAATGTACTTTTTTATGTATAAATTAATAATATTCTAATACATTTTTATTTTTGTAAGAAATAAGAAAATACAAATTTTAAAAACATTTATCTTTACACTATGAACCAATAAAATAAACCTTTTAATTTTGGTTTTTATTTTTAATATAAACTTTAGTTTGTATTTTTAATATGAACTAAGTTTATATTAAAAATACACACTTTAGATTATATTAAAAATATAAACTAAGGTTTATTTTTCAATATAAATCTTAGTTTGTAATAAAAATATAAACCTTAGTTTATATTAAAAATATAAATGTTAGTTTATATTAAAAGTATAAACCTTAATTTGTATCAAAAATATAAACCTTAATTTATATTAAAAATATAAACCTTAGTTTATATTAAAAATATAAACCTTAGTTTATATTAAAAATATAAAAAGTTAAAAAGTAATTGCTGTTTTAATGTTTTTTGATATTCTTTGTTTAGCATCAACAATAAATTACAAAATCCTGAAGCTGCTAATGGAGTACTGCTTTATGCAATGCGCAATTCTAAAGTTGATTATGTAAGCTTTTTTAAATTTCAATGTATTCAAAAGTAATGTAAATTTACATATAAAGTTTTAAGATTTATTTCTGAAAATAGTTTCGTATTTTGTTTGTTTCTTGTTTTTAAATATTAGAAAGTGCAGCAGAGATGGTTTGAGAAATTGCATGATTGGGAGCATGCATTAGAGGCGTATGAAATTAAAAATGAGCAAAATCCTAACGATGATGACCTGCTTCTTGGTAGAATGAGGTGCTTAGAAGCCCTTGGCAAATGGTAAAGTTTTTTTTTTTTTTTTATAGATCTAAATATCTGTTACAGAGTTTTTTTCTTCGTTTTTTTTTGTATTTTGCTTACAAAATCTTTTTATTAATTTCAGGAGAGAGTTAAACAAACTCGCCACTGAAAAGTGGCAAAGTGTAGAAGACAACATCAGACATAAAATGGCAAGAACTGCAGCATCAGCTGCATGGGGCCTAGGTATTTTTTCTTTACTTATAGAAATCTTTAAAAGACTGACATCATTGATTATATCATACTGAAATAGTCCCAAAATAAATAAAAAATAATAAACTATGGCATAATACTTTTGTTATTAGACAAATACATATTGATTTTTTTGTTTGTTTAGGTGAGAAGGGATTGTGCATTAGCGTTGAGGCTTAATTATTTGATTTTAAATGAACTTACCTATAGCTTTAGGGTTGTTCAGGATTAGTATGAAGCGTCAAAACGTTGTGAAATGAGGTTTTTCCCATTATACTATCAGTAACATGTCTGAAAATAATTTTTACAGATTTTTGAAAATTGATCCTGAGGTCCTTAAAGGCCTCCAAAATTGAACCCCATTTTTCAAGAAAAAATTTAAATATTTTACATTATAAAATGTTAAAATTCTATAATTATAACAACATAGTTTAAGCAAAATCATGTTTAATATAAAGGTAATCAGATCTACAAAAAAAAATAAGTTAATGTTATATTTAGCATTTCTACTTTAAAAAAATGAAATGTTTTAGTCAATTTTATGACCAAATATAACAAAAAGTGAAGGACTTTACAGTCTTTACTTGAAAAGTTAGTAATTTACTTGAAAAGTGTTTAATCTCTTATACTCAACTCACATATAGTACTTAGTATTGCACTACAATTTAGTATCTTTTTGTCAAAACTTTTTATTAACTTTCTATGCTGCTCGACACCCTGCAACAACCATGCTCTTTGCTCTATATGTTGTAATGATTGTAGCAAAATTCGAGATTAACTTGACATCACGCTCCACTGCATCAATGACAACTTTACTGTACAAACAAATTGTTCTGCAACTCTAAAAGCCTGGTTTGAATTCCACTGCTCCACTGATTTGGAAAGCCAACCAGTGCTCACTTTTAAAGTGTGGATCAACGAATGAGATTCAGGTCCAATCAAACTTGTCAAAGTTGTTTCATGACCAATTTTTTTGAATGCTGGTTTACAAAAGTGGAAGTTTTCTAGTATTGGAATCAAAAGCAATTGATCCGCTATTTCTTTCTTTAGTGCATGTGTCATCAAAGGATGATTACTAAATAAAGCATATGGCGCAACTTCTTCTGACAAGTACCGTTGATGATTACAGAGTTTGTTAGTTACAACGTCAGCAATATCTTTGTCAGCACTTTTAATATCAATCATGTCATGAATAAACTTGAGGTCGTTCATAGGTGCATCTGCTCCCCAAGATGTTTTCATCCATGCAGGAGTGCAGAAATGAGCCAAAAATCTATTCATACGCATGAGTTTAGCAACCATGTCATCATCATACATCTGTTTGGAAAACATATACATCTTTCCAGCCTATATGTTGTTAGCCATCCAACCTGCTTGACATATCCTCCATGGTTTGAGAAAGTGAACGCCACTTGAGGGAGTTTCACTAAGATTATCAGAGTGTTTTCAGCAGATTCACAATAATCATCACTTTGAATAACTGTTGAATCGTTGCAAGATAGTATGTTTGTAAGTTCTCTAACAACTTTACAATTTTATGTTTAACAACCATTTGTTTTCAGTTTCCAGTACTTGTATTGCTTTGCAAACAGTTTGTTTTCCAGGCCTAAAATGTCACCAAATAATAATTTCCATACAGCACCAACAACAAGTTCTAAAATGTGATGACAACAAGCTAGATAGAGTAACTTTTTATCTAGATTTGCTTCCATTAACTTAGCAGCTCTTTTATACCACTATTACCACTATTGCTAGCTGTTGTATCAAACACTAGAGCTACAACTCTGTTGTAGCTCTAGTGTTTGATACAACAGATCACAAACTTGTATCAGATCAAGCGTTACTTCAGCTTGAGTTGCTCCTTGGGAGTTAGCTAGAGAAAGTACACCAAATAATTACACCTTCCTTGTATTCGGGAGCTCCAGAAATAAGAATTCCAAGTCCTTTATATGTGTCTCCCAGCATATCTTTTATAAGCTTACCATCCCAATGCAAAGCACCATATTGGGTAGGGTTCTGTTGTACTGTCTCCATCACTTTTTCTGCAATCTTTTGACAATTTAATTTCTCCGCGCAGCGGCCTTGCTTGTCAAGGTTCGTGTTTCGGAGTTAAAGAGTTGAGAGAGGGTTGAACCACGATTTACAACAAAAAAAAAAAAAAAAAAAAAAAAAAAGGAGCCTCCTCGACTGTAGTGGCCCCCTCGGACCTTGGGGAGGTGATAAATTAAAAAAAAAAAAAAAAAAAAAAATTGAACATTCTTGTTCTCCGAGTTGTAGATATTGATATCTCAAAATCTTTAAGATTACCTCCAGCAGCTTTTATTAATGCTGATACAATGATTGTCGTTTGACAACTTGAGACGATCAGCAGCACTGATTATCTGGTCACATTGCATTATTTTCCTAGGTAGCTTAAGAGTTACATATTCGCCTTGATCTATTTTTGTTGCTTCTTGTTGTAGATTTGTTTCAAAATGAGGATCGATTTCAGTTCGGTCATCTGCTTCATTTAATTGTGTCTCAGAATCATATTCTAGCAAAGCAGTAACTCCTTCAACCCGTTCTTCTCTTAAAATATCCAACCTGCACTGTTTTCTTTCTGTAATTCTTGCTTCACGTGCTTGTCTTGTAAGTTTCATTTCAGCTTTGGTTTCAAAAATTTTATCATGTCCATCCATTTTCTTCTTTCCTGTTGTTGGTCCAAATAAAAGTTGATATCATCTTGTTTTTTCTTTCTGACAAATCTTAATTTCTAACAATCTTGATTTCTTTATTTCATCTAAGTCAGGTGCACCAATGTTAAAAAGAGAATCCATGTCAGGTGCACCAATGTTAAATTTTGTTCTTCCTTTATTTTTCATCAAATTCTGCCATTCATTCCAACGTTTTATAACATTAAACATGCAATTCTGTCTGTATTTAGTTTTCATGCGTGCCATATTCCAAAATACAAGGACTGCACCAACCACAACATAAGCAATATCCTCATTCCTCACTTTATTTTTAATATTTTCTGGATCGTTCCTTAGAAATAAGACATATTTCATAATTTGCCTACAATCAGGCAGTTTGGCCCCATTAATTGATATTGAAGGATGAGCAATTAACCAGAAATCAGTTAACTTTCTTGTCACAGGTCTCCTTGGAGTTCCTTTATGTGAGCTAGAAATACGTTGAGGAAGTGGATTCTCTTTTTGTTCTTCAGACTTATTATCTTCAGTACATTTTTTCAATATAATCATTGATAAAAATTTATTCTTTTACTAAACAGTATCAAAACTCTAATAATACAACTAAAAGCCACTGAAAACCAATCAAAACATTTTAGAAATGATTCTTTGATTATTGCGATTCTTAAAAAAAAACAAAAAAAAAAATGCAATTTATGCAAAAAATGGGGAACATGTTCAGAGGCCTTGAGGGACCTCTTACCAAAAATCTGAAAAAAAATTATTTTAGATGTAGTGTTGATAGTATAATGGGAAAAACTTCACTTCATGACATTTTGACACTTAATACTTTATCCTGGACAACCCTATTATAGCTTACCTATAGCTTTTGTTTGATTTGCACATTTTTTCAATATAAAAGTTAGATTGCTTTCGTGATTTTCAATTAAACTTTGTTTAACAATAGTTTATTTTTTTCATGACAAAGTTTGAGGTATGTTTAATAAAGTTATAAGATTCAGGTTTACACAAAAATATTTCAAAATGTAAAAAAATGATTAAATAAAGATTTTACTGTATTATTTTATTAAATCATTTTCTTTAAATTAACTTTTAAGTTAATGCATCTTAAATTCATGCTGTGTAAATTTTATCAAACACTTTAGTTACAAGATTGTAAATATGTTGGTTTTTTCAGTAAATATAAAAAAGTGCAACTGCCATTTTGCCTTCTCTATAGTTAGGCATAAATCCATGGTTAAACTAGAAAATATACTAAAAACTTTTTTCACATAATTCTTAAATTTCCTTTAATTAGTAATTTTTAAAAGTACCTAAAGTAATTTTTCAAAATTCATAATAGCATTAAAAATTCCAAATTTTATTAATTAACTTTATAGTAGAATTTCATTTTTTATAAAGCACATCTGAAATGGTTTTCGTGAAGTTTTGAATTACTGCATGAATTGGTTTGAAAAGGTATTTTAACATAGTTTTCACTGGCAATGGAACAAGAATTTCATAATTCCAACAACTTTTTTTCTTGAACTCACCTAAAAAACCAGATAAAAAAGATGTCTATCTCTACATTATACTAGTTAACTACATTAAACTAATGATTTTTGTATAATTTCTTTTATGTACTGTAACAACTATATTTTATAGCTCTAACTAACTGTACTTTATAACTGTAACTGTACATTGCAACTGTAACAACTATACTTTATAGCTGTAAATAATTTGCAATAATTTTAAATACTAAGATAGATATAATCTCAATATATTATTGTCAAACTTAATAGTAGTAGTAGTGCCTATTTGAGCGTATATGACACAGAACCCTTGACAGCCATTGCAACCTAGGTAGTGGTGAGAAGAGTCACAGCACTTTTTTATAAAAAAAATGTGAACAAAAGTGTATGCAAATATCTAACTTCTAACTAATAATAAAAGTAATGTTAAAAATAAAACATACATTAAACTTTATAGTTTTACTTTCGCTTAAAAATTGCATTGCAACAACATCTCCTTTAATTTGATCTGTAGCATTTGTTTCCATTTTATAAAGTCTTTTATTTATTATATAGTTTTTAAATTTTCTTTAGTCAACATGCCAGTGTGGCCGAGCAGTTAGATTGCAGAGCTTCTAGTGGTTAGCAAGCAGAGCTTGAAAAATAGCTCGCAGAGCTTCTAGCGGTTAGCAAGCAGAGCTTGAAAAATAAATAGCAATTAGTTTTCTCACTTACTTGTGCATTGATAAAAACAGTAAAACAAACTTAAATATTGTCCATGTTTCTAGCGCAAATTATAAAGTATTTCTTTAATATACTGACTGAAAAAAGTCACGAAAAAATTGTATATCAAAAATATTTTTATTTTTGTAATATTTTTATCTACTTTTTCCCTTGACTTATATCAGTTATAGTTGTGGAAAATAACCAACACCCCAAAAATAAGAAAACAAAAATAGTAAAATATTTAAGTATATTTTTTTTTTGACAACAATTTTCTTTATTTTCAATATTCAATTTTTTTTTAACTTATTTTATTTAATTTTCTATTTTGTATCATCTTCGTTTCTTTTTTCTTTGAGTATTGCTGTACTATTTTCTCTAGTTTTTTATAGCTTTATTTTGCCGTAAGTTCTTAAAACAAGGCGTGCGACCGCACACGCTTCCTAGGAAGGCTTGATATATAAGGAAAAAGTATAGAAAAGGTTGGTGTGGAATAAACTTACAAAAACCCATATTTTTACAGGTCTGGTCAGCTAGTAGATTTTAAAAGCTTACAATTAGTTTGACTATATAATTAAAAAGAACCAAAGTCTGTGCTATACTATTCCTGCTTATGTTGCTCAGTTATACTCTGTTGTTATGTTACTGTTATTATGTTTAAAAGACTTGTGGGCATATGGATTGTTTGTTTAAGACATTTACTAAATTTACTTAAAACAAAATTGTTTTAAGAATTCAACACAAATATTTTTCAATTATTTTTAGGTGAATGGGAACATATGGAAGAATACACATGCATGATACCAAGAGAGAAACTAGAAGGTGCATTTTTTCGAGCTGTATTAGCATTACATAAAGATCAATATGACCGTGCACAAAGTGTATGTTTTTTTTGTTGTTGTTGTTGTTTTTTTTTGGCATGAGTACTTTTTATTATTTTTTGATTTGAATTGATTTTTTAGATAAACTTTCTTTTTGAAACTTATAATATATACTTTACTAGGATTTCTGAATTAATTTTTATTTTATATTATATATTCTAATTTTTTAGGTTTTGTAGTATACAATATATACATATATGTGTGTGTGTGTATGTATATATATATATATTATATATATATATATATATATATATATATATATATATATATATATATATATACACATATATATATATATATATATATATATATATATATATATATATATATATATATATATATATATATATATATACATATATATATATATATATATATATATATATATATATATATATATATATATATATATATATATATATATATATATATATATATATATATATATATATATATATATATATATATATATATATCAAGCCTTAGCATGAAGAAAATTGTCCAGCGCAATTTTGCGCCCGTAAAACTCAAATATTTTTTTAGCAAGCATGATTATGCACGCTTGTCATTAAGTTATCAGGAGCAATCTTTTATTTTTGGATATGGGTGTAACACACAATTTTATTAAGTTTTAATTTGTTATACAGTGTTCTTTAGATGACAAATATTTTAAAATTATTATTTAGAAGCGCCTGACAAAATGATTAAATTTCTTTTGACTTCCTTAATACTTATTATTTGATCGCATCTGAATGTGTTTTTTTTCCCACCTAGTTCTTAATAATCTTGTTTTAAAGAATAAATTTAATATGTTTTCTTTTGTATGTTTTTATTTCTTTTGTATGTTTTTATTTCTTTTATATGTTTTCTTTGTCTTCATCATTAACTTATTACTACAGTCAATTTTTTTTTATTATTACATCGAATATATTTGAAAGAAGTTCATAAGCTTTCATTTTTTTCACTATTTCATTTGTTTAATTAAAATATAAATTCATAATGTTTTCACATCATTTAAACATTAAAACAATGAAATAACTATTTCTTTTCGTTAAAACTTATTTAATGTTTTTTCGTTGTTAACGCTTTTATAACTTTTTTAGCAAATCTTTTTACAAGCTTATATTAACAACGTTTCTCTTAATTAATTTGTATTTATTACACAATTTAATATTATTAATAAATTTATATAAATAAATAAAATTTTATTTAATTTCGTTAAATGTTTGCTGTAAACGTTTTATATAAAGAAGTCTCATTCACAAATCACCATTTATTGTTCGTAGAAATTTGTGCTCTAATTTCAACAGATTGACGTAAGTTAACATGAAAAAATGAGTTTTTTGAAGTATAAAAAACTTTTTACCTTAAAAAACGTAATTAAAGATATTTGAATAGAGATTATTTTGTTTTTAACAATAAGCAAACTTTTTTGTTTAATTAAACAAGAATCTTTAACAAAAACTTTTTTTAAAAAAAATTTAATATAAAATCAAGTAAACCATTATTATTTTTCTCCCTCCCAAATTTTTAAGACAAGCGCGATTCTTTACTCTCGTAACTAAATTAGCGAGCATTTTTTATCGTGCCCGCAATTTATAAATATTCCATTAACAAGCGTGTTTCACATGATGGAAGCGATCGCTCTTGCTTCATGCCAAGGCCTGATATATATATGTATATTGTATAAAAAGTGTATCCTGCCTTGTAGGATATGCTTTTTTATTCAAAGGCTAGGCGAAACTTAAAACACCCCCTGCCTTGGGGCTCTTGGTAGAGTATAGGCTAGAGATGGTGTCTTGATAAAAATACTCATCTTGGGCAGATGTTAAAGGCATCCGGCACTGTCTCGTAGAAGGCCTCCTAGGCAAAGACTTAAGAGTTAATCAGATTTTATTTGTTGACCAGCCTCGCACCCCTTCTTCATCTATTAGGCTGGTGCAGATGTATTCATAATACATTATTTCCAGTTTAGGGCGTTAAATGCTGGATCTTCTTGACTTAATGCATGGGTTTTGCTTGTGTCTCTGTTTTTATGACTAGGCAACTCATTCTATTATCTCCTTATGGATTATATTCATGCAGTACAGTTAAAAGATAATATTCGAAAAAGTTTAGCGACACAATTATATCCTTATTATTTGGTAATAAAATTGCATCTAAAAGCTAGGGTTTTTTTTATTTAGAAATACATTAAAACTATAAATTATTTTTATTATGTTTTTCTCATGATTAATCTTTTAAAAGTTTCTTATAGCAATATTTTACATCTCATAATGATCTATTTTATTCAGATTTAAATACAACAAAAAAAATAAAGTATTAGGCTACAGTTATTTATGTTTTATATGGAATGATTTCTTTTTTTAAAAAAAATTTAAAGTTATTTTACTTTCCCATACAAAAAACCCTAGTTATTCAAGAAAATGGTTTGACTTTTGAATTTCAAATTATCTGAGGTTCAACTTAAACAGAGAATTTTAATAGTAATTGATTAGACAATTTCAAGGGACCAAGTGCAACAGTTCGAGATAATAAAAGTTCGAGTTAACTTGTGTTACCCAAAATTAATTGAATATATAACTTTTTAATTAAAGTTTTTATATTTTTAAAATTGACTTTTAACTTTAAGAAAATGTAGTTGATTAAAAGTTGTAATACACTTGAAAAAAGTTTTTAAAGTATTATTTTTTCTATTGAAATCATAAACATAAATCTATTCAAATTCAATTGAATTATAATTTGATAATTCCTACATATATATTTAGTGCATTGACAGTGCAAGGGATATGCTTGACACAGAATTAACAGCCATGGTTGGAGAATCTTATAATCGAGCTTATGGAGTAAAAAATTTGTTTAAGTTCAAGTTATTATCTTTTAGAAAGCATGTTATGTAGAATTTTTTTATTTAAAAGTTTCTTTTAGTCTATGGTAACTGTTCAAATGTTGTCTGAACTTGAGGAGGTCATTACTTATAAATTGTGTGCAGAGCGCAGAGAAGCTATTCGTCAAGCATGGTGGGATCGTTTGCAAGGATGTCAGCCAGTAGTAGAAGATTGGCAGCGAATACTGCAAGTTCATTCACTTGTGCTTAAACCACAAGATAATCAAAAGACATGGTTAAAGTATGCAAGCTTGTGCAGGAAATCAGGGCAGCTGGTACTTTTTTTAAAACATCAAATTAATAACGATAGTAATAATTTTGATAATAATATTATGAAGTGGTAAATATTAAAATTGAAAACAAATTAATAATATTGTTACTATTATTATTATTATTATTATTATTATTATTATTATTATTATTATTTATGTTAAATCTATCAGTTAGGCTTTTCTTGTAACAACTTTCTGTATTACCAAAGTAAATGAGCAACATATCCATAGGATTGACAAAGTAATCTACAATAAATTCTTTTAAAAAAATTCATATCTGTGAAGTTTTATATGCGAGGATGATAATAGTGGGCTTAGGTGAGTATCTCTTTTAATTTTTAAATATTTCGATATATGAGTTACAACACCATGAAAATTATTAAAAGAAATTTAAAAATTGTACAATAAAAACATATAAAAAGTAAACAAAATATAAATAGCATAAGTAAATGGTATGAAGTTTAACAATATTTAGTTTTGGCTTTTAGGAAATGATTAACATTAAAGAATTCTTAAATCAATTATAACAACAAGAGCTTTACCCAAAAATGTATTATGAACCATATGACATAATAAAAAAATCCATTAATTGTTAAATCTTTTAGTTAACTCATTTTTGGCAGGCGTTGTAAAAAGTACAACTATTCAACAGTGGGTTTAAAAAAAAGAGATCACATAAACTTCAAAAAAGTTTAAAAAAAAATTAAAAAAAACCACCAGCCACCCTGCAAAATTTACTTTTTCTCTTACCCGTAGCACAAACCTTTTGAAGTTTCAAAAGTCTCTGACAAATTTTATTTAGAGTTTATTTATAAAAAATTTTAACCAAGCAATGGTTCTTTGAATCTTTTTACAAACATCTTGAAGGATCATTTCTTTTTCAAGTTAGCTTATGTACTTGCTACAGGACAAATCATAATTTCATATCCGTTTTCTTACTACATCATGTATAAAAATTCTGTACATGTAGAATGTAAATTTAATAAGAAATATCACACCTCTTTTTTGTACAATTCTGGTTACAATGCAGCATTGAGTTGTTACTTCAATTACTAAAAATAATAACACAACATGACACAACTTTTATTTTATAATTTATCATTATCTTATCACTTTGCAATAAAATTGTATTCTACAACTCTTTTTTATTTTTTTGAATAAGTTATATCTTGCAGCTAAGGAATGGATAAACTGCGAGGAAAAAAAATTACCCTGTATCAAGTACATCAGCTAAATTTTTGCCAACTTTGTGAAGGACATATTTATAAAGGAAACTATTTTTTTAAATATCACACTTTAGTAAAGTATTAGTAAGTGCTTTTTTATGTGACTACTTATTTAAAGTACATTTTTCAATAAAGTTGTATTTTTTGAATAATCTGCAATCATAAACTGGGGCCGTATTTTCATCTCTCTGTTAAGTTTAACAGAGCATTAGTAAAAAATTTCTTTTTAACAATCTATTAATAAAAAAGTTCTTTAAAAATATAAATTTTTAAAAATAAATGTTTTATTTTAGTAGTAGTTTTATTTTAAAAAATTTAAATAAGATTTTTGTCATTTCTTTACTTAGATATATTGTAATGAAATTTCAGACAAAAGCTCCGTTAAGCTTAACGGAGAGATAAGAATACGGCTGCAGATCAATATAGTTTTAATAAAATATATTGATATATCATGACTTTATAATAATAGGGTTTTATCTCCATTCTGTAACGATAAGGTTTTATCTCCATTCTGTAAATTCTAGATTAAAAAAAACAAACAGCAAAACAAATGTTTTCGTTATATTCTAAATAAAATAATAAAATAAAAACAGAAACAAGGAATTTTTTATTTAATTTCTAGTTAATTTTAAATTACCTAGAAATTAAATAAAAAATTAAATAATAATTAAATAAAGAATTTTTTATTTAATTTCTAGGTAATTTTAAATTACCTAGAAATTAAATTAAAAAACAGTTCTATTTAAATTCTAAATAAAAGTTTTATTTAAATTCTAAATAAAATTTTTTAAAAATTGACAAAACAAACATTATATTTAAACTCTAAAAAAAATAATTCGTACATGAAAGTGTTATTGCTATTTTTTATTAAAGTATTTAATGAACAAAAAAGATTTGTGTTAATTAAAAAAAAACATTTTCATTTTTTTGGTGAGCATTTTTTAGGCGCTTAATTTGCAGCTTAACATAAATTTAAGCCTGTCATGAAATTAAAAATTTAATAAACAAATCAGTATTTAAAATATCTAGAAGTAAGAAAAATATCATTTCTATGATTCTGAGTGATATTGACTTTTCAGTAATGCAACCTACTTATTAATGATGAGAAAATCTTAAGGCTTAAGGTTCCTTTTATAGGAAATCAATTTAACTGTAACCTAAAAGGCAGTGGAAGACTTGTTCATATCATACCCTTGGTCGATCAAAATTGGTGTTATAAAAATAGACCTACACTGCGCTGGAAAATCTTTTTTTTTTTTTTTGTCAAAAATTGCGGAATTAATAATCTTTTTTTTATTCAATTCTTAACATTAACAACAGATTTTTAACAGTTTTAGTATCTGTTGCACGAACCGCTATTAAGTTAAAAAACCTTTAAAAAACTTTAATGAGTGTATAAGATATTTGACCGTATAGCTAAGCATAAACTATTATGTTTGATGTTTGTATATTAAACATTATATAGTTTTTCAAATAAAATAAAATAATAAAAAGCCACAGTTTAAAATAGTTTGAATTTCTTGGAAATTGAAACATTTGTTTCCCAATTTTATTTTTAACAATATGAACTTTTTATTACACCAATATTATTACAGAATTTAAAAAAAGTTGTGCTTATTTAGAGTGACTGAAAAGTTCTAATTAATTACAACTGTCAAAAAAGCTAATAATTTTTTTTTTTATGATTTGATTTTTTTACCTTTAGTAGCTAAGTTGTTATTCTAACAAACCCAAAAGTTTAAATTCAATGTTTGATAAAAAAAAAAATTTAGGGCAGGGGGATTTTCTAGGCGTTTTTTTGAATACAAAATAAAAAAATTTAAAGAAAAAACACTTTTAATTATTAGAAAAGTTTTAAAAGTTTTCTTAAATTATATAAAATACATGCACTGTTTAAACAAAAATGATTCACAAACTTACTTACTGACATTTACATTTACAGATGTTTGTACATAACATTGTATAAATGTAGTTTTTACATTTTTATAACTTTTAATTTTTATTAATTTACCTAAGTTACATATTTAATTATCTGTTTATAAATTTCTTATTTTTTCTTATAAAAATATGGCAAAACACTTATTCTTGTCTTTTTTTTCTTGGATGTTGTCAACTCTGTGTCAAAACGCTTTAATGGGCGCTACTACTACTACATTTTATAAAGATTTTTATTGCAATCACTACTTTTATTATTATTATTGTTATTGCTATTAATTAGAGAAATTATTATGAATAATTATATTTAACAATGAATATAACAACTAATTAAGAATATATATAATAATAACAATTATTTTTAATATATACAATACTAACATAATATCCCAGTTTTATGCTTTAGCCTGATAGTATTATCTTGGTTGCTTTCAGTTATTGTAAAAGTAATGGTTTTTGTTTTTGTTTTCGAATTTAGGCACTGTCTTATCAAACATTGATTACCTTGCTGGGTACTGATCCTTCACTTTCACCTGACCAACCCATTCCATCTAATTTTCCTAAAGTCACATTTGCATACATGAAACATTTGTGGAAAAGTGGCCAAAGAGTAAGTCATAGTTTTTTAAATATTAACAATTTTTTACAGTTTAATGTTGATGGGTTTTAGAGTTTATGGTTGCTAATGCCGGTATTATTAAGATATTGCGTGATTTGTGACATTATCATTTAATTTTAAACTATTTTTTTAATTACTTAAATATATTTTTTATGTTTGTAAACACAGAAATTGTAGTATAATATGATTTGAAGTAATAACTTAATACTTGAAATTAATTTACCAAATTTGAAAAAACTATATGTTTGAAAAGTGAACTTTTATTTGATTTTGGTTTATAAACTTTTTAAAAAATTTGTAAATATTTGTTGCTTGTTGTTTAAAAATTTTTTTGGAAACTTAGGATAGTGCATTTTTCAATCTCCAACACTTTGTACGAAACACACTTCGTCCTAAGGCATATCAAGTATCACCATCAGAAGAAAATGAAAATAGTCAAGCACTTGTGTGTTTACTTGCCAAGTAATTCACTGATGCAATTTTTTAGTTGCTTTTTTTTTCTCTTTTTTTTATAGATTTGAAATAAATTTTTTTTCTTCTAGATGTCACTTAAAACTCGGGGAGTGGATGACAGTTATTCAAGGTATTAACTCTACAACAATTACACCAATTCTTCAATATTATGCTGCAGCTACTGAAAATGCCAGCAAGTGGTATAAAGTAAGGATTTTTTAACTTATTTTGCATACAGAATTTTTTTTTTTATAATAACCTTAACACATGATTAGAGTTGGTTTTATGTCAAATTAGCAGTAATAGATTATTTTTTTTTACATATGCTTTAATTTACATAATTTTACTTTTATTTAATAACATTCTGTTTACATGTAAATTAAATTATAAAGTATTGAAATCCTATTTATATTAGTAAAATAAATTGTAGTATAAAAGTTGTCCTTGATGGATAGCACTTTTCTTCATTTCCTGTAACTTCAGGGGTTGTGTTCTATAGGGGTTATGCTCTATCCTTGGCCCAATACTTTTTTTAATTTACAATAACGATTACATTTAAGCTAGCATTGTTTGCTGATGATACTGCCATTTATTCCTGTCTTGATGAGTAGCCAACACTCTCTGATTGCTTGGAAGGGACATTTGAGCTTGAAAAGGATCTCATTTCTGTTACAGCATGAGGCTCTCAGTGGCTGTTGAACTTTAACTCAATTTTTCAAGCTAGTTGTTATTGCAATAAACTAGATCTTCCTAAATTTATAAATGGTGATGTACTTGGTGAGTCATCTACTCTTTATCTTCTAGGATTGACTCTTACTTCCAGTCTTTCTCGGTAACCAAATATCAAATCCATTGCATCCAAATATCACCAAATAAAACCAAATATCAAATCCATTGCATCCAAATATCACCAAATAAAACCAAATATCAAATCCATTGCATCCAAATATCAAATCCATTGCAAAATTAGCACCTGCTATGCTCTCTTTATTGTTGCATCTCTTTATTATGCTCACCACTTTCTTATTCCGGATTCTATTCTTTATCTCTATAAATCTCAAATCCATCCTTGTTTGGAATATTGTTGCTATATCTGGAGGGAATCTTCGAATGATGTCCTTTCTCTTTTAAACAAAGTGCAATAACACGTTGTAGACATAGTTGGACCTGCTTATGCAGCCAACCTTCAACCATTGTCACATCGTCATAATGTTGCTTCTCTTTTCTATATATACTATAATGAACGCTGCTCTACAGAGCTAGCACCTCTTGTGCTATCTACTAAAATTCATTATCGTGTTACTGGTTCATTCAACTAAGTCTCATCCTTTTACTGTGACTGTCCCTAAGTGCTCCTAAAATTCTTATTTGTCTAGTTTTTTTCCTCGGAATTCGCTCCTTTTTTCTTATTTTCCTGATTCATATAATATGCAATCTTTTAAGTCGTCTGTTAATCATTATCTTCCTTTATAAACTTCATCTTTTTTCTTCCAGTAACTTTTGACTCTAATAGTGGTTGCTTGCAGCCTTTTTGATAGTGAAGATGTCTAAAAAAAAAATTTTGTAAAAAGAATTTTAAAAAATTTAAAAAAGCATATATAATGATCAAATTGATTTAACTAGAACTGCTAATATATGGAAACATTTTGTTAATAATAAAAAAAAACCACAGAATGTATTAAACGAAATTAAGTCTTAATGAAGTTTTTATTTTGTAACCCTGCAATTTTTTTAAAAAGAAACTAGAAAAGTTATTTGTTAAAATAGGATATTTTTTTTTGTTTGTGGGAGTAAAAAATGAGATAATTATGTTAAGCAAGTCTATAAGAGACAGATTTTATAAAAAATTATAGCCATGCCTGTTTTTTACAAAAATATGGCATGGATAAATAACAGCAGTATGGACACTCTATGTTTTTGAGGCTTTTTTTTAATCAAGTTTTCGATTTCTCAAATCAATCATTTACAAAAAAAAATTTATTGAGTTTTTGGGTCTTCTTTTTCTTCGACAAAAGACTTTTTTATTGATGAAAATTTTATTAATATATGTGGTATATAAAATATTATTTTTAACAAATTTTTAAAATTTATTTACTATATTACCTAAAACCATTCAATGTAAATTACTGGTCTCGTATATGTTGTGTATATTTTTGTGTATGGTTGTCTCTATATCCAAATTTTTCTAAAAATTATTGATGTTGCACTGATTCGGGATAGGTTTGGATGTTTGGCTTTTTTGTAGTGAAGTCCACATTACTGAAATGATGTAGGTGACAGGTGATGATAAAGATAGCAAGGATGCATCTCTGATGAGTGATGCTAGCCATTTTTTATCAGGCCCTCTGAAACCATTTTTTTTTTTTTCTTTTCTTTTTTTTTTTTACATCTTCACTTTTAACATGGCTGCAAGCAACCACTATTAGAGTTGGAAGTTACTGGAAGAAAAAAGATGAAGCTTAAAGAGCAAGATAACAATTGACAAATGACTTAAAAGATTGCAAATTATATGAATCAGGAAAACAAGATGAAGAAAGCAAACTCCAAAGAATGGATGTTCGAGGAAAAAAACTAGACAAATAAGAATTTTTAGAGCACTTTGGAACAGTTGCAGTAAAAGGATGAGGCTTAATTGAATGACAAGTAACATGAGAATGAATTTCAGTGGATGATACAAGAGACTCTTTAGAGCAATGTCTATTATAGTGTTTATAGAAAAGAGAAAGAGAAGCAACATTACGCTGATATGATAATGGTCAGAATTGGCTGCATAAGCAGGTTCAACGATGTTTACAATTTGTTTTTGCACCTTGTCTAAAATAGAAAAAGCCTCTTTTGAGGATCTGCCCCAGATATGGCAACAGTATTCCATACAAAGACAGTATTCCATCCAAAAACAGTATTCTATACAATGACGGATTTGAGGTTTATAAAGATAAAGAATAGAATTCTGAGTAAGAAAGTGGCATTCATTTGTAAATCATTGGTAAATGTATTGTGGCCCAGAGAATAGAGTTTCATTTACGTCCACTGCTTAATTTGAATCTTAATTTTCATATAAAGTCATTTTTTATTAATTTCATATTAAATGCCATTTTATAGCATTTATATGACTAAATTATGAAATATAATTTTATTATGATAAATATGAGAAAAATTGTTTTTTATTTTTTTCCAGGCATGGCACTCATGGGCTTTAATGAATTATGAAAGTGTTTTATATTATAAAAATAGTCAACCCCTTTCTGCATCACAATTTTCTCCTCCTGGTTCACCACGAAAGGTATCAATCACTTATCATGAATTTAAAATATTGTTTACAATAAATAGTTTTTATTTTTAAACAATATTTTATAAAAATTGCCTTTAGACTACTGATCCATCTGTTCAAAACTACATTGTTCCAGCTGTTGAAGGGTTTTTTCGTTCTATTGCTTTATTTATGGGAAACTCTTTGCAAGACACCCTCAGGTAATTATAAATAAATTCTGTATGTCTGTTTGTCATATATGAATGCAGAATTAGATTCACACTTTGAAGGATGAGGCAATATTGAAATAGGAAGTTGTTTCAGTATATATATAAACTTATTTAGAGAGAACATGCAAGGGAGTAACAATAATTTTTTTTCATCATTCTTTGTTTTTTGTTGTTGTTTTTTTTTTTTTGAAATTTTAAATGCGCTTATAAGAATTAAAATATACAAAATATATTCGGAAATTGCGTTGTTATATTATATTGATATATATTACTAGTACCAATCTGAATTGAACAAAAAATAAAAGGGATAAAAAGCAGCAAATCTAGATACTGCTCCATCCTTAATCTTTAGTTAAACCTATTTTAGTATGAAGTTGTGAATGATATTTCATGCAAACCAAAGTTAGCTATTGAATATATAAGGATGTTATATTAAATATATGACATCCTTATATGTTCAATATAAGTATGTGTATATACAGATTGCTTACTCTATGGTTTGAGTTTGGTCATTGGCCAGATGTTCATGAAGCTTTAGTAAATGGTATAAAAACAATTCACATTGATAATTGGTTGCAGGTAACTTTTTTTTTTAAATGATTAATATATTAATATTATTATTAAGTGTATTAATTAGTGTTTTTAATTAGATGTTTAATTAATTGGTGTTTTGAACTTACTATTATTATTATTTATATTAATTTTTGTTTAGGTGATACCTCAATTAATAGCTAGAATAGATTCGCCTCGTCAGTTAATCAGCCGACTTATTCATCAACTTCTATCAGATGTTGGAAAGCAACATCCTCAGGTAAAGTAATATTGCATCATCTAATTATTATAATAAATATTTTTCAATAGTTTATAAAAAATTTCATATTTATATATTTGTCTTGTCTAGGCATTAATATACCCATTGACTGTTGCATCAAAATCCCCAAATGCTGATCGGCACAATGCAGCAAATCAAATCCTACAAAATCTATGCGAACACAGCTCTGCACTTGTGCAGCAGGCAATGATGGTTAGTGAAGAGCTTATTAGAGTTGCTATTTTATGGCATGAGTTGTGGTATGAGGGCCTTGAGGAAGCATCAAGACTTTATTTTGGAGAGAGAAATGTGAAGGGGATGTTTGGTGTTCTTGAACCACTTCATATGATGATGGAGAGAGGACCACAAACACATAATGAAACTTCATTCCAGCAGGTTGAACTAATAAAATCCTTGTTGTCATTTTCGTGACAAAAATGATTAGACTCGATTTTAATATAAAATTGAGTTTAATCATTTTTGATTGGACTCGATTTTATATTTAAATTATTTGTATATTAAAAACAATTAGGCTTATGGTCGTGATTTAATGGAGGCTCTAGAATGGTGTCGAAATTATCAAAAAACTAATAATGATAAAGACTTGACTCAAGCTTGGGATCTTTATTATCATGTTTTTAGGCGAATCTCAAAACAACTCCCTCAGGTTTGTTATTTATATAATCTCCCTCAGGTTTGTTATATAAAAGTTTATATTAAAGTTATTTATATTTATATAATCTCCCTCAGGTTTGTTATTTATATAAAAGTTTATATTAAAGTTATTTATATTTATATAATCTCCCTCAGGTTTGTTATTTATATAAAAGTTTATATTAAAGTTATTTATATTTTTGTTAATAATAATAGATATATATTTTTTTGTTTTAGTTGACTTCTTTAGAACTGCAGTATGTATCTCCTAAACTTTTGAACTGTATAGATCTAGAATTGGCTATGCCAGGTACTTATGAACCAGATAAACCAATCACACGCATAAAAAATATTAGTACTACATTAAATGTTATTACATCAAAACAACGTCCTCGTAAGTTGACCATCACAGGCAGCAATGGTGCAGTATTTATGTTTGTGCTGAAAGGACATGAAGATTTAAGACAAGATGAGAGGGTTATGCAGTTGTTTGGATTAGTTAATACTCTCCTTTCAAATGATTCTGTTACATTTAAAAGGCATTTAAGGTAGATTTTGTTATTATGATTAAATAATTAACTTGAGTGAAACTTATTTTTATAAGTATTATTTATATTTTTTTTAAAACATAAAATGTATCAAAAATTTAATATATGCTTATTTTGATTCATACAAATGGAAAAGTTTTTTTTACAATTTTTATACCTTCTGTTATTTTTTGTTTTATTTTATTTTGTTTTTTTATCTTTACAACTGTCATCTCTATGTTGCTCAATTACTCATCTCAACTTGTTACTGAAACTAAGTCAGTGAAAGAAAATTTTTAAATTATTTCCATTAAGGTTGAAATTACAAGCTTTCTTCCATTGAAGGGGTTGATAGTAACTCTCATTAAGAAACTTAATTTCAATTTGTAGCAAATAAACATTTATTTAGTTGAAAGATAAAGACTTTATATTTCACTTTTTATTAGTATTCAACGTTATGCTGTGATCCCGTTGTCTACAAACTCTGGTCTAATTGGATGGGTTCCATATTGTGATACACTTCACACTTTAATTCGTGATTATCGAGAGAAGAAAAAAATTCTTTTAAATATTGAGCATCGAATTATGTTACGAATGGCTCCAGATTATGAACACCTGTCATTGATGGAGAAAGTGGAAGTTTTTGAGCATGCATTAAGCAACACTCAAGGAGACGACTTAGCAAAAATACTTTGGTTGAAAAGTCCAAGTTCAGAGGTATATGTTGGTGGCAGCTTGCTAAACTGTTTTAACTTAATAACAATTTTTTTTAAATAAAGTTAAACTTTAACACTTTTTTGTTTGTTTTAAAATAAAAGGGAAAAATTAAAATTTTTTTTCATTAGGTTGATTAGGTTTCTAGTTTTAAAGAATTTTATATTTTATATTAGGTTTGGTTTGATCGTCGCACTAATTATACTAGATCGTTAGCTGTAATGTCAATGGTTGGATATATATTAGGTCTCGGTGACAGGTACTGTTTGAATTTTGATTTAATAAATTAACTTGTGTCTTGTTCATCCATATTTAAAGTAATTTTTTTAGACTCATTGACCATGGCAGTTTGCATTTTTTAACTTTTAGTTTCAATAATTCACGGCAAAAAGCTAAACTTATCTACCGAGAAAAAAAAAGGGAAACAATGTTGTAACAAAAAATCACATTTTAATTAAATAAAAATATTAAATGAAATTTTTATACAACCTTTTTTTTTTTTTTTTTAGGGTAGTTTTTATTTATTTTTTAGGGTAGTTGTAATTTTTTTTTTTAAGGTAGTTGTTATTTTTTTTTTAGAATTGTTGTTATTTTTTTTTTAGGGTAGTTGTTATTTTTTTTTTAGGGTAGTTGTTGTTTTTTTTTTAGGGTAGTTGTTATTTTTTTTTTAGGGTAGTTGTTATTTTTTTTTTAGGGTAATTGTTATTTTTTTTTTAGGGTAGTTGTTATTTTTTTTTTAGGGTAGTTGTTATTTTTTTTTTAGGGTAGTTGTTATTTTTAGCTACAAACTTTGATACAAGTTAAGGAAAAAAACATTTCATAATAACAATTTTATAATTTTATAACAACAATAGAAAGTTTTTATATGCAATTTAGTCACAATTTTTACGAAACTAATTTGCTATATGCTCTAGAACTATTAGAAATTTTTTTAGTTTTTTTTTCTTACATTTATTCATTTTCAATTCTTTTAGTTTTTAAAAATGTTTTTGCATATATTTGACATTTTTTCTTAATACTTGTATGATAGGAATATCAGAAAATAACTTCCTATTTATTTATAAACTATATTATTTAATTAATAAATTTTGTAATGGCGAAAGAAATTAGATAAAAGAATACCATGGTTCTTTTTTTAAATGTTATTACAATACTTGATGACTATCTGAAATTATTTCCTTTATATTGCTCAATTTTCAACATTAAGAGGAATTACCAGAGCTCTGTTTGAAAAATGTATTTAAAAAGTTCAAAAAATTTTTTAAATAGGTTCCTAAGAATTTTGTTAAAAAAATTCAGTAACTATTTCTGATGAACTTTTGTTATCAATGCTCCAAAATCTGCATTGTTATATCACTAATATAATGACGCAGATTTTGAAGCGTCAATAACAAAAGTTCATCATAAAATAAACTATCGGGTTTAAATGCACATTATTGAGAATCCAACGAAAGTGCAGACTATTTCAAAAGGAGTAGTTAAAAAAACCAAATATTTTATATTTGAACATTAGTATTGATGAATTTTTTATATTTTACATGAAAAACTTGTTAAAAAATAAAAACATATATTTAACAAATAAATAGTGGTTAGTTTTTTTGCTTTCCTGTGCATTGATAAAAATAGTAAAGTTTAGCAAAAACATTTGAAAAACAATTTTTAAAATTGTCTATATTTCTAGCACAAATAATAAAGTATTTCCTTAATACACTGACTGACAAAAGTCGTGAATAAATTGTATATCAAAAAATGTTAAGCTAAGGCCTTTGATGTAGTATCCCATAAGTAATTAGTTAACTAACTTAAAAATTAAAGTATTTCTAACCAGCAACTATTAGTCAAATTAACAAATATTAGTCAGGAGAGAAACCGAATTATATTTACCAGCTAGAAGCTGACACAGAACTAATGAAAAACTGCAAAGATAAAGTTTTTTTAACAACAGATTTTCTTACAAATGGAACTCATTACCAGATAAAATTCAACATGTATAAACAAGTTTAAAGCAAAACCAGATGAACATACTCACTATAACTAATAATCTACTTTTGATCAGCTTTGCAAGATTTAAAAGTTTTTTAGTATTTTAAAATTCTAATACAAACTAGTTGAAATTATGCTGTCGCTTTATAAGCAAGTAGTTCAACTTTCTTAATATTTAATCATTAAGTAAACTTTTGCTATTGTATACAAAAAAGTGCTTTTTTCTTTTGTTTTTAGGCATCCTTCAAATTTAATGTTGGATAGAATGTCTGGTAAAATTCTACACATTGATTTTGGCGACTGTTTTGAAGTTAGTAAGCTTGTTAATTTGTAATTTTTGTTTGTTTTTTACTTTTTCGTTTTCAAAACTAACTAGGCTAGAGTTTACATTGATTTTCATCAACTTTGATATTAAGTGTTTAATCGATAAATTTTCTTTTGAGTTTATTATTTTTTTAAAAATTTCAAGTTTGAATTGAAAACTTTACAAAGAATTTAGTAATATTCTTAAAACAAACAAAATAATATTTTAGGTGGCCATGACTCGAGAGAAATTTCCTGAGAAAGTTCACTTTAGGTTGACAAGAATGTTGATAAATGCAATGGAGGTAATTTTTTTTTTTTTTTTTTTTTTTTTTTTTTTTTTTTTTTTTGTTTAATAGTTTATTTAACATAAATATGAATTTAGAGTTTTTGTTTAAATATATATTTAATCTGCTCTAGGTGACAGGAATCGATGGAAATTATAAAATGACATGCGAGAGTGTCATGAAAGTCCTTCATGAGAATAAGGACAGCTTGATGGCAGTGTTGGAAGCATTTGTTTATGATCCTTTGCTTAATTGGAAACTGATTGACAGTTAGTTATGTTACTTGTCAATTTAAGTATTAGGGATAAGAAATGATGATGATCAAGATAATGATGATGATCATGATCATGATGATTATCACAATCATGGTTCATCATCATCAAAGTTAAACCACATAGTTCTTGCATTGTATTATGATAATAATGGTGTTAATACTGATGTGAACTCTAAATTATTATTTTGACCTTGCAAATAGATCAAAATAATAATTTAAAATTTTTTTTGAAAAGTTAAAAAGTTTAATTAAATAATTCATTCCTATCAACGTTTTGATGATAATTAGTAATTAAATGATTTTCACTAATATAATTATTAGAAATTAGTATAAATAATATAATAATTAGAAATTAGTAATTAAATGATTTTCACTAATTTATATTTGATCTAAAAATTTAAATACTGAAAATTGAAAATTTATGAGAAATTTTTTTAAATTTTTGTTGTTTCTCAATGAAATTTATGCAATTTTTTTATTGATGACTAAGGAATAGTTATACAAAGTTTGATTAACATACAACTATTTGTTCATATCTCACAAGACTTAAAAATACCGGAGATGTTACATAACATAAATCAGTTTAAACATTCCAATACTTTTCAAACATTTTTGATTTATTAAGTTTTTAATGTTTTTTATGTTTTTGGTTGCACATGGTTGCACATAAATGTTAGCACTTTATATATGTTTATATAGTCTATTTTATATATCTTATACATGCTAAAACATTCTGGTAACAATGAGTGTACTTTTTTTTTTAATCTAATTCACTTCAAACAAGGCTACAAGCAACCACTATTAAGTTAAGAGTTACTAGAAAACAAAGAATAGAGTTAAAGAGCAATGAAACGGTTGGCAGAAGACTTGAAAAGTTGTAGGTTGTATGATTCAAGAGTTTCGAAGGACTGGAGTGCAGGGAAAAAATATTATGCAAATAAATGTTTTTAGTGCATGTAGGAACAGATACAGTAAAATGATGCTACTTTGCAAGCTGCTAAATAGCAAGTCAAGTGAGAATGAATTTTAGTTGATGGAACTATAGATGATAGCTTCTTTGAGCAGCGACCACAATAATATTTGTAAGAAAGAGGAAGAGATGCAACTTAACAATGATAGGAAAGAGGCTCAAGCTTAGCAGACAGCAATTCCAACTACATTTACAATGTGTTTTTAAACCTTGTCTCAAAGAGAAAGAGAATCATTAGAAGAACCAGCCCAAATATGACAATAGTATTCTATACAGGGATGAATATGAGATTTGTAGAGGGAGAGAATGGAATCAGGAGTAAGAAAATGGCGAGAATGATAAAAAGAGGCATTCATAGCAGATCCTAATTTAGCAATCGATTGCATATATGGTTTCTATGAAAGGTTTTTGCAATAAATAACTGAGTTTTGTTGGAGTTAAAAATTACAAAATACTATGAGCCTCAATCTGTTACAGATTCAAGATTAGCTTCCTGTTTTAAACAATCAAAGAGATAAGATTTTTTATCAAGATAGGAGTATAAGGTTGAGTCATCAGCAAATAGAGCACTTTAAATGTAAGATTGTCAAAAAGATTGTTAATGTAGATAAAAACTAATGACCAAAGGATAAACAAGGACCTAGGATAGAACTTTAAGGTACCCCAGTTATTACTGGAAATGAAAATGAGTGTTGGCCTCTGAAAATGACTTTAATAAAGCAGTTAGAAAGAAGTGATTATGTAATCTCAAAAACTTATTAGATATGTTGAGAGTAATATGCCTCCCCTCTATCAAAAACCAAATTGATTGTCAGAGAGTAAGTGTTAGAATTAAGATGGGATGGGGTGAAATTCGTTAACTCAATCCGAGTATATTTGGAGCAGTCAGAATGTCCAGAGTTTTTCAAAATTGGAACCACAGATGCCATTTTCCAGCAATCTGGAAAACAAGATTAAGTAGTTATTATTAAATAGTTTAGAGAGAATTAAAGTGAGTTCCGGAGAACACTTTTGCAAGACTATGACAAGAAAGTTGTCTGGACCACAAGCCTTAAAAGAGTTTAAGTAAGAAATGACTTAAGTAATAGAAGCCAAAATGATTTGGATGTCTAACAATAGGTTAACCTGTTTAACTAGAATGACAGGAAGAGTGTGGTCATTAATTTCAAGAGTAGAAAAGTTCTTTGAAAATATTCTTATACAACCTTATCCTTGGGAAAGGTAATAAGAGAGGTAATAAGATGAATTAGAGATAATTTTTGACTTATAGAGTCTTATAGATAAGATACAAAATTTAATAAACTGGGAATAATGAAGCTTAGTGTCAGACAGCACATTTTTTACATTGATTTCTGAAAATAATAAATAAAAGTTTGTTCTCTTGAGAGTTGTTGTTTTGAAAAAGATGAAAAAAAAGTATTAGAATTAGGTATAGCAGTTGCACAAGAAGATAAAAAGTATGGACTAGAATGAGGTTTAACTTAACACTGATGAGAATGAAGGAAAAAGACCTTCCATACCTGTCTGGATCCAGGTGTTTACATAGAAGGCCCATTTATCAGCGGAGAGTGGAAAGACATTATTCTAAGGACCATCATGAAGAAAATTACAAAAAGAATCCCAGTCAGCTTTAGGGTAGTAATAAGTAGTGCTATGATATGTGAGTGCAAAGAAGTACAAGATGAAAGATTTATAGAGATTATTGCATGTTCGGAACCACCTAATGGAGGAAAAAGAGAAGCTAGGATCAGAAACAAGATCCAAATCAAGGAATAAAGGCAAGTGGTTAGTGTTGTCTGGAAAACAAATCACAAAGTTAATCTGAATAAGAGATTGAGAAATACAGAAGTTATGAGTTTTAGTCCCAGCAGGGACAGTGGTGTTAGAACCAAGTCATTCAGTGTGATGAGCATTAAAGTCACCAATATTGGCAGTGAGGTCAAGAGAAAGAGCATGATCAATTTGATCAGAAATTGCAGTAAAATAAAAAAAATTTATAATTAAAAGTAAAAGAGAATAAGCAAAAGAAACTTTTTACAGAAAGTATTAGCTACCCAAGCTAACAACCTGCATTTGTAGTAAACTTGGGGTAATCTAAGGAGCTGGTAATCTTTTTGTTGTTTGACCACTCTCAGATCAACTCATTGACAATAATGAGTTATGCAGAAAAGGTTATGAAACTTATAAAATATAAAAAGTTAAAGTATTCTCTTTTTACAACTCTAAGTCTCAAAATATTAATTAGAATAACAAAGAAAAATCTTTATTTTTATCTTTCATTGGCAAAAGTTTGTGATTGCTTTTTTTATTCATTAAAGTTAAACATACCCCCGGAGTGGTTTAAATATCAGTATTAGAGTATTATAATAAATTTGAAGGCTTCAACATTGCAAAAGTATTTGTGTTCATGATGTTGCAGAGTCAAACTTATAAGAGATATCAAAAACAACTGCTCTTGTCCATTGAAGAGAGAACAATTTTTCTGAGTTGTTGAAATCAATACAACAGGAACACATTCTAAAGGTGTTACTCGGTACTCAATAAAAATATTGTGCAAATTTCTTGATAAAGAAAAAAAATGGTTGAAAAAAGTTTCTAAGTACTTGCACAACCTTTTATTAAATTTTTTAATGCGTTGCATGCAATTAAAAAGTCATCTTAAATTTTTAATATTTTGTATTTAATTTTTATTTTTTATTCAAAATGTCATTACTAGTAACAACCATGTGTAAAAAAGTCTCAAGTTCTTTAGTTTAGTACTAATATCTTTATTCAGCTCCTAAAGAAAAAAGATCACAAGGTAGAACTGGTGAGGGTTACAGCACACAAAACAAAGGTTTGAATTTATTTTATATTTTTGTATATAAACTTTAATCAGATCTAATTTTATCAATAGATTTTAAATTTCATTAAAGTATTTATGTTCTTTCAAAAATTGTTTACATTGCAACAGTTGATAACAAAAAAAAGAAACTGGGTTTAAAGAGTCATATCTTAAAATATATTGGAAAACAAAATGGAAAAATATTTTAGAATGTACTATTATTTAAATTTTTATATATATAGTTAGTTATTTTTAACTAATTTGGTATCTAGATTTACTCTCAGCATGTTTACTATTCTTGTATTACCTGCTTATATTATACGGGAGTTTTGAATGCAGTTCTATTTTTCAGTTGTCACCCATTGTCATCCTCAAAAAAGTTAAATTGTGTAATACTTGATCTGGTTCACCTTGATGGAGTTATTATGGCTTTAATACTTTTGGCTTGATTTTTTTGTTTTGTTTGTTTTCCAACTTTTTTATACAAAATATTATTCACTTTTTTAATCATTAAAAAGCACACGGTTTGGAAAATATTGTTAAATTTGTGGATTAATGTTAAATCTTTTTAAATTCATAAATATTTACAGAATTTCAAGAAAGTTTTGATCACACCCACGATCGACCCCGTGGTAACAAAGCAGCTGCCGCCGAACAACCTTTACAAAATTTAGAAGATGGAGCGAAACCTGAGGCTGTTAATAAGCGAGCCTTACAGATCATCAATCGAGTTAGAGATAAGCTTACTGGTCGAGATTTTAATAACAATGAGGCCATAGAAGTCGAAAAACAGGTCGACGCTTTAATTCTTCAAGCTACTTCACATGCGAATCTATGCCAAGCTTACATTGGGTGGTAAGGACATATTTTAAATTTTATTCATATTTTCTGTTTTTATGTAAAATAACTTGGAAACTAAAAAGCGATTCGTCCTGGATTCATGCTTAGAAAACTTATACACTTAAGTTTAAATTTTATTTACAGACAAAAGTTCAAGAATTCAAAATCTGATTCAGTGTTTATTAAATAGCGCAAATATTCATAATAATCAATCGTGTAATTAATGCAAAGCTTTTTGAAAACTTTGTTTAGTTGTATATTATTTTATAATTATTTAGATTTATTTACACTTAAACATTTTTAGGCTATTTTTAAAAAGATTTAAACGTGGTTAAAAAATCTTTTAAACAGTTTTCAAAATTGATTAAAATTGGTTGAAGTATTTTGAACCGTTTTCTAAAGTTGTGTTTAAAACAATAATTTTTCATTTTAAAATTTGTTTTTTTCAGAATTAATAAACTATTTAGATAATAAGAAATCTGGTTGTGTAAGTCTAACTTTCATGGACATAGGAGAATAAGAGTGTTTCTTTTTAGGGGGCAAATTGACAATCAGTGTTACTAATCACTAATCTTACGTTAAGTCTCGAAGTCATTGTACTGATAATTTCAGTTTGTGGGCAAGTCCAAATATTAAGTCGTTGACTTAATATCTGGACTTGCCCAAAACTTAAAATTTCATCATTAAATTATATGAATGTTTTCAATAATTATAATTAAATATTCTCTTTTGGATGGAGTTGAAGTGTGTATCAATTGTGCAATCCTCAATTGTGGTTTAAATAAGTGAATATCTAATTGATAAGAAATCTAGTTTAACTCTACAAGAAACATATTCCCTTATTTTAAAATCTTTTTTTTAGAATAAAAATAACATTTATCAATAGTTTAAATTTTTAAATGTTTAACTTTTTTTATTAAATTTTTATTTAATTATATTACTTTAGGTGTCCGTTTTGGTAAGACGATGCTTTCATGGTGGAAGATATAGACGTTAATAATATTTTATATTTTTTATATATTTTTGTATATATTTTTGTTATTTTATTATACCTATATTTGATTTGATGAAGAAATAGATATTAGCTAAAATGTAAATAAGAAGTTGTTTTAAGATGTTTTTTTTGTTTTTTTATTAGCGGCATATTTTTGTATTACCACATGGTCAGTAAAAATCAAATGTAATGCTTACGATTCCTACGAAGACTCTTCGGAGGTATAAATAGATGTCAAATTTTAAATCTTTTAATTTTAAATTGTCCGAGCTAAACAGTTGCGATTTGAACAACTCCCTTCACAATTCAGGATGTTTTAATAAAAATATATTTTCATAAATCTTTTATAGAAAAAATGTATCAATGCATTACGTCTTATGTATGAAATATTAAGGGTCGCGTTATTTGCACTAATGAAGCATGTTTTGTCACACATGTTTTTATACGTTTATGTGTATCACTTGCTATTATTTAATAATGATGGCTATACGTATTTTAGCTTAACAGTAAAAAGTTAAGAAAATTTACACTACATTGCACATATTCATACAAAACATTTTATTTCAAATCTTGGATGTGATAAAATACACACTGCACTTTTGGAGTGACGCTTGTTTGAGGTAATGCCAGGAATGCCTCTTGGAAACTCTTGATTTTTTCTTTGTATTGGACATCCAGATTCATGCCAAAGCATGCTTGGACAACAGCATTGAATCTTCGAAGCACGGCGATGAAGGGAAAAACTTGGAAAGCTGAGCCAACCTCTGCAAGCTGCTGAAGCTTGTCAAAGTTCTTCAGAAGTTTTTGACAGTCATTTCCGACAAACTGTCCGCCGTGATAAGGCTCAATTTGGATATGCAGAGAAGGCCATTTTTCAACATCTGGCCACACATCTTTGATTTTTTTGAAGACCAGGTTTACCACTCCCAACAAAAGGTGCAACTCCATTGGTGGAATAATGTCGATAATGAAGATGTCATTTTTTCCGCTGAAGACCGGCTCATGAATGGCAATGCCAAACAGTTCCGCTTTTGTGGTGACCTTTCCATATTTTTTCAAATTTTCGAAACTCTCCTTCAATGAGCCGATAGTCCTCAGTCTCCCTGAGCAATTCAGATTGGTGGATTTCGCATCACACCATGAACATGGGTGGGTACTTGCATGCAACTGGAGACCAACCAAAATATTATATTTATATATTTGGAATCTGTGGACCATGTAGATTCACCGGGGACAGGTGGCATTCTCGGGTCGAGCCGAAGTAATTATTTCCTATTTTGGACAGCTGTGTTCATCAATCCTATTTAATAATGTATAAATACAGTAACAGCAAAAAAAAACTGTCAATAATTGTGACTAGCACCAGTACTGTCAATAAAATGAATTAATAATGGGTAAAACCACCTTTTGCTTTAAGCAGTTCACAAATACGGTTTGGCATGCTTGAGACTAGTTTTTTTACATTAAGCAGTCATGTCTTCATCCCTGTTCATACACTGATGACTCCTTCAACTATCTGCTGTTTTGTTGTTAGTTTTAACTGGCTTAGTTTACTCTTGGTGATGTTCCACAAATTCTCTATTGGGTTATTATTAGTATTTATGTCGGCGAATCGTCAGGCCAATCTAGAACACGCACCTTGTTACCAGCTAAAAACTTCATGACAGATTTTGTCTTGTGGTAAGGAACGCCATCCTGCATAAAGATGCCATCTTTTCTGGGGTAACATATCTTCATTTGTGGTAGCAATCTCTCCTGAAGCACCTTCTTGTACTGGTCCTGCCTCATTGTTTTCTCCACGACGTAGATATGGCTGCAGTCATGTACTGACATATCACACCAGACCATCACAGACGTTGGATGTTTGACACGTTGAACCACACAGTCTAGATGAAACTACTCTTCTTCTCTACTTCTCACATAGATTAATCTATCATCCACCACTCAAATAGTACTTTCATTGCTAAATGCTACCTTCTCCTTTTCTTCGGCCGCAGCCATGTACTGAAGTAACACTTGCGTGTATTTCGCATACTATAATATAGGCATCCTATAATATAGGCATATAGACATCCTATAATATAGGCATATAGATGTACAATATTGGCATTTAGGCATCGCATAGGCATCCGATAATATAGGCATATAGGCATCGCATCATATATATATATATATATATATATATATATATATATATATATATATATATATATATATATATATATATCAGCAAGATATATCTTGTGGATATGAAGTACAGTATTGGACAAAACATTTGCAACCAACATCAAACAATGCTAAAAAGTGTTCCTAATTTTACATGTCTTAAAAACGAAACGTACTATACTACCACAGCAAACAGTTCAGGAGTCATGAGTCAATGAGTCATAGCATGTCATGACATGAGCAATTAGCTGACAGGTGACAGCACACAGGAAGAATTTCGTAAACAAGTGCGATTTTGCAGCGGACAAAACAAGTGCAACTTTTTTGGTTTGTTTCATTTTCTTAAGTCTGGTCCGTGTCAACGTCAGGGAAGTTTTTTAATAATTAAAGGAATATCCAGAAGTTTCCAGAAGCATGCAGAAGTTTCCAGAAGCATCATCTGGAAGCATCTAGAAGCATCCAGAAGTATCCAGAAACATTTAGAAGCATCCAGACGCATCCAGAAGCTTCTAGAAGCATCGAAAAGAAGCATCTAGAATCTTCCAGAACAGGTTCACACAGATTCATTTTACTATATAAGAGACATGTAAACCGACATGTAATTCAGTCAGTATATGGAAGTCAATCAGTCAGTATTATCAAGATAGTTTATCAAAGTGAGCTTTATCAAAGTGTTTTATCGAATAACATTAATTCAAGATGTGAAATACAACAAGTGTTTCGTTACATCAATACAGTCCATATCCAACCAAGACGTTGCGTTCCACAGAGCATTATTGTATCATCACAAGGTAAATGTAACACGGTAAGCCTCGAGAAGCGTGATTATTTATTTTTATTATTTTTATGACTTGAAGTGCAAAAATAGCTCCCGATAGTCTTGGATTGGAACTAAGTAAAAGAAAATTATTGGCGATTGCGTAAGTGGAATGTCACAAAAAAGTATTTGTGATAAATATCGTGTAAAAAAATAGACCGTATCAAGACTAGGGTTTCTCATTTCCCGTAAATTTAGCATCCCGGGATTCCCGGTGTGTAACTTATTTATCCCGGGATTTCCCGGGATTTCCCGGCATAATTTTTAATATAATAACAAGCGGTTTCTGACACAAATTTATCTTAGCACGCTAATCTATATTACTATTTAAAATGAAATATTGTTTTAAAAAACATAAACAATCAATTGATTTGTCACTTAATCGTGAACGAATTTTTCCCATAAATAGACCCGCGGCAGAAAAAGCCCTTTCTGATTCAATTGATGTCGGCTTGATGGTCATTAATGTTGAGTATATTCTTTCTAAACTTTCGCTACGCTTTCCAGTTGCCTCAAAAAGTTTGATTTCTTTTGTGAGGTTTTTTAAATTGCTAATGTTTTCTAGAGCTGCTTTTTCTACTTGTTTGACATTACAAATAGTCGCATCCAATTTTTGTTCAAGCGTCAAAATACTTTTGCCTAATAAATATGGAGCAACAGGTTGAGGTATTGACGGGTCAGAAACCATGCTTTCATTATCACGACTCACTTCAACTATTTCATTATTTGATGAACTAAGGCTAGCATCCTCTATGTACAACCTGGTATAAATTTTTTTTGCTGTTGCTTTTAATGCATGTTTGGGCGGTAAGAGTAGTTTGGAGTTGATATTTGATTCCTGATTATAACTAATTGGGTTGTTTAAAAATTTTAGTAATCCAATTAAATTGGCATTTCTGCGTTCTTCAATTCTCTGCTGCACAGATTGAAGCAGTTTATTAGCTATAAAATTTTTTTTCTCCGTCAAATCGTCTAAGATGAATATCATTACACCTTCTGCGTCAAGTAGAGTAGCATTACTTCTACCAAGTCTTTCTATTCCAACTTTTATTGGTTGCAGAGAAAATGTTATGTCGTTCATAATCGCATATTCATCTTCGGAGATATTCAGAACTTCTTTTAAATCGATCATTGCTTTTAGTATACATGTTTTTACTTTAAGGAATCTTTCTAGCATTGCAACAAGACTATTCCACCTCGTTTTGACATCTAATATCAGCTTAAGCTCTTTATTAAACATAGATTTTACGTACATTTGTAAAACTTCATTTTTAAGAGGTGATTTACGGAACATTCGAACCACTTTTCGAACCTTCTGAATTGTTAAGGCTATATTTACGCTATTTTGTAAATCATCAATAAACGTAACGCCTGTTGAGCTGTGTGACTCATCATTACAGTCAAATACATCATCAAACTCGTCGTAATCACTCAAATTTTCATCGGAATCTTGAAACTGCGATTCAAATTCAATATATTTTGCTGAAGAGTCTGACTTTTTGTAAAGAACATCACATACTGCCAAATGAAGTCCGTGGGCATAACACAGCTGATGTTCAATACCACTTAGCCGTCCAAATTTTTTCATTACGGATGCTCCGTCAGTGACACTAGCTATGATGTGCTTTTTAATTGATAAACTGAAATCTGACAGTTTATTTTCAACTAGATCAACAATTTTTTCTGCAGGAAGTGATCCAGCTATCGGAGTCATTCCCAGGTTCCAAAACTTTGTTGATAAGTGTAAATTTACATTTAAATAACGTCGATTTTTTAAAGACGTATATTCGTCTAACGATAAAGAAAATCGCGACCCGCTAGAAATTTCTTTTGTTATCTCTAAAACCACAGTTTGTCTAGCTAATTCATATTGTTTTTTTATCATACCCATAACATGGGATGGATTTTTTGGTAATAACATGCCTTTTTCAGACAATGATTTTCTAATGAATTCACTTTTTGTTATGGCATTTATTGAGAAGCCATCCACCGTTGCTAGCTTTGACACAATTTCCTCGATAGTCTGCTGTTTAACAAACAATGTTATTTTCTTTTGAACAATTTTATTTTCCGAACCAGTATCTTCAAGTAGACGCTTCATATTTAGATCCAAATCTTTATGTGTG